GGGTTGGTAGGGATGAAGTATAGAGTGGGGAAAGTTAAAAAAAAAAAGTATTGGAAAATATATTCCCTTCATTTGATAGGAAATAATTAAAAAATATTAAAAGTATTTTCCTTCCTATTAAACACACCCTATGTGTATTTAATTTTGACTTCAGGTAGTCCAATTTGTTTTATGGGTTACTCAATTTAATTTTGTTGGGTATGCGAATAAAGTCCTACATTGGTAGCTAAAATGATTGGGAGTCTACATATAAGGTGTAAGAATCTCTTAATGGTGTGAAGCCTTTTGGGGAAAACCGTGCGGGTTTGGCCCAAAGCGGACAATATCACACCATGTTAAGAGTATCTTTGGGCCATTTAGCCCAACAACTGGTATCAGAGCCCAGGTTCAGCGGAACGAGTATGGAGATGCGGAGTGATGGTGCAGGGCGGTGCACACACAAGAAGAAGCTAGTTGCGGGCTTCGGTTGCCATAATACTCTAACAATGTGGGTGGCATACAGTGAATCTCGAAAATTGACCCGTGAATCGTGGTTCTGGGCCACGTGGAACTTAGTTCGAGGGGAAGATTGTTGGGTATGCGAACAAAGTCCCACATTGGTAGCTGAAATCTTTTAATGATGTGAGGCCTTTTGGGAAAACCATACGGGCTTGACCCAAAACGGACAATATCACACCATCTTAAGAGTATCTTTGGGCCATTTAGCCCAACAAATTTATATGATATCCATATGTAAATTTTTTTAACTAACCTGATATGTACTGTAAATATGTCCCTAGTATGTAATACTCTTATATATGTAATATGGAAACGTGCTTTTTTCCCTTCTAGAAGTAATGTCATTTCTTTTTTATCCCTTGTTGCTTTATTCTATTCATTCTTTGGCGTCTGTCGTCGGGAGTCCGTTAGTCCGCGTTAGGCATCCTAGTTTCAACTATGAAGTATGAAGATGACTATTACATAAAATATTACTTATGATTCATTGTATGTGTGCATTGTCATATGTGCGAGTTAGTCTTATAATTATTTCAAGTGATTTCTAAGGTTGATTCGTGGTCTACTGATGGCACTAAGAAATTTGGATTTCGTTTGGGAATTTTTACATAAATAGCTAACCAACTTTAATATTTATTTTTTCCTAGACAGTAAACATAAGATATATACTAATTATACACAACTATATACATATTATACATGAATTATGCATAATTCATACACATTCGATGGCTGTCTTTAATTTATGCTACTTAGCAACTCTAACTTAAAAATATCCGAAGAAAAATAAAGGGATGTCCAATAACCCAAAAGGTGTTTGTACTTTTCTAAAGTACTAATCTTTGGATGCGCGTGTACTTCAGTTCTGATGAGTAAATTCAGGGGCGGAGTCAGAATTTAAAACTTATGAGTTCAATATTCTAATTCTTTTATATTATTGGGTTCTAATTAATAATTTATATAGAGAAAATCTTACTTTATACCCATTAATCCTAAACTATTTACCTTTTAATGCCCAGACCCAAACTATTTACTACTCCTACCCATGGGACCCAAATTATTTACCCATTTTTTCTTAAAACATGTTATTTCTGAATTCACTGTACCCACTAAAGGGTAAACATGTTACCCCAATTCGTATCAAAATTATTTCTGTTTCATCCATAAAAGGCTGAATTCACTGTACTCATTCAGTTCAATTTTTTTCTTATAACAGATGCATTAGTGTTTATACATAAAATCGTGAAGTGGGTATTAATCACAAATACAAATCAGCCCTTAGGAATCTGATCATCCATTCAGCTGTGAAAGCCCTTCCCTCACTCATGTTTTTCTTTATCACTTTCTTATTTTTTTCCCTCTTTTTTTAATTAAGTTTGTCCTTTTGTGTTTGATGAGTGCGAAAAATCGTAGTATGGAACTTATATCCTTAAATTTATTTTTGTTCTTTTATGCTAAGAAAGTTATACAAATTACAATTATTATTTATTACCTTAACCATATTCAAAGTGGGTGTTGTTAAATATTTCTTATAGTACTTTCTGGAAGTTCATACTGAAATTTGATAGTGGTTGGAGCTAATTTGAGGTGATTGAGATCGAAATTTTCAGTTGAAAATCGAAAAAGAATACAGCTATAGTATACCGCTACGGTATACAATATGTTGTAGGAGTATATAACTATACTGCAATAGTATACTATTATAGTTTACAATATACTGCAACGATATATTGTAATAATCGAAGAAGAACGCAGTTACCTAAGAGTATACCGCTATAATATACAATATACTATAGGAGTATATAGTTATACTACAGTATACTATTATAGTATACAATATATTATTATAGTATACTGTAATAATATGCAATAAACTGTAAAAATATGTTGTAATAGTATACAATATACTATAATAGTATACTTATTACATGTAAATTCACTTGCCTTTTCCCTTTTAATTTGCTTTAAGCTTTTACCCAGCGTGAGGAGCAAATTAAAAATGCAAAATAAAATAAAATATTAGAGTATGATATATAATGTAACGGTATATTCTTACAGTTACATCCTTTTAGAATTTTTTGAAATTTTTATTGACAACTGATATTATTTCAGTTTAATAATTGAATTAAATTTTTTTAACTCTTTGCGTACAAATTGTATACCCTATTGGTATAACTATATACTATACTGGTATCATATGTTAGTTAATATTTTTTTGGTTGTATTAGCTACATTTAATTGGTACACAATTTAATTTTTCTTTAGTAATAATATAAAAAAAAGAATAATAAAAAATAGTGAAAACAGTAAATGAAATTACATTATGAAGAGAAAAAGAATATGAAAAAAAGAAGTCAAATGAAATTAGAAAAGGAAAAAAGAAAAAAAATAAGAAGAAAACGAGAAAAAAGAAAAGGAGAAAAGAAAAAAAAAAAGAAGCACAAAAATAAAAAAGAATTGGAGAATAAAGAAAAAATTTCCCACAACCTACTATGGATAGGAAATGTAATTAGTTTATGTGTAGAAAAATAAATGGGTAGACAAAGGTAAATAGTTTTGTTTTTGTGGGGAACTGTGTCAAAACCCCATTTATATATAATTCAATTCTTTTAAAGACAAATACGAACAAAAATCACTGGACCCAACCGAACCCGTATCCAGAGGGTTAACTCCGCTCTTGAGTGAATGATTTTTAAAAATCGCATAAATATGATAAAAAATTTGTTTGAGTTAAAAATGAAAGTGGGAATTAGATAAATTAAAATTGAAACTTTTGGAGTTAGAGCGCTAAAGAGATTGCGTCATGTCTTAATTTTGGGGTGTGGTGTGGCCATCGGCATGGCTGTTGGATTATTATTTTCCAATTTTGGCTTCCTACTATTTAGGACGCTCGTTAAAACCCAAAAAATCCCTTAATGTACCAGAATTTACATATTTCTACTATAAAAGTATTAGAAGAACACTCGTTCATCTTATTATGCCTACTAAACCGAAATAAAACATCCACATAAAAAATTCTTTAAAATTTTCTAATATAACTACGAAAATAAAAGGCGTAATACATACGGAGACACCTAAAGTTGGCACAATCTTTCGCTTAGACATTTAAATTAGGTATTTTTCCAATTAGACACGTTTCTTAGGCAATTTTCA